CATAAGTTTATGGTTCCATAACATCAAAATTGAAGCATTTATGTTTCCTTACTCTTATAAAAACATAGCAGAGATTACATAGCCAAGTTTTCTAATTTCAGAAGAATCCTTAACCAAAAAAAAAAGTTATTAAGCATCATTATTATCTGCACTTGATGGCTTCAGACATTGAAATCGATTTAAATATTGCTTGGTTCAGCTTGGAGCTAGTTCAACAGTTCATTCTTGTAAGCCCCTTTGTCAAGCTGACGTTGAAACAGAAGCTAATTATGCACAAAATCAGTTATGGGTCATTCTATAGTATGACTTCATTAGTTACTGGAATCCTAATGATTGTGATGAGGATAGACATTGGTCAACTAAAAACAAACAACATTAGCTGGATCTTAACCAATATCCACCAACTAAAGAGTAGGATACCCAACAACAACAATAATTGAGCATGAAGCCATATTCACTCACCACCAACAAGAATATTTTTAAGATGAGCAACCAGCAACAACTTATCAATACCGGCAACAAGCATCAACAAATACTCAACAACACCAGTAAGAAAATAGTCCTCACAAGCCTAGCAAACTCAGCTATGAGGACAGGTTCAATATCCTCATATGATTATAGAATACAGCAACACATGGGAAACTGAAACATGGCTCAATCAATGTTGCAACACAACACTTCATACAAACAAGGAGATGTGTAAGAAACATTTGGAACACAACCAAGAAAGAAAAGGAAACAATGCAAAGTTACAATTTGACAATAAGATTTCATCTTTCTAGCATAAAAAGAATTCATGTCCTAATAGATAAATCAAAATCATCTTAATGGCAGATCATGTCAAAAAGACTTAGCATCAAAGCTTAACATCTCAAATGATTAGGAGGGGGGACATTATGCCTCACACCAATCCATTATATCTAAAACAGACATCCAAGAATAAAGTAGAAAGACTAAAGTGGATATTAAGCCAACTTAAGGGGGGACACATCAGAAATAAAGATAGAGTAATACAACATGTACAACTTTGTACACATTCATGAGAAGTTGTTTAACTTAAACAAGAAATCTCAAAGGGCATACTTGGCAAAAGATGATAAGGGAAAACACAGACTTGCACAATCAAGTAAATTCATCCCCAAGATCATGTTCAATTTTGCACTATCAAAACCTTGGTACAATAGTCGTGTGCATGTACATTTGATGGGAAATTAGGTATATTCCCTTTCACATATATAGAAGCAACAAAAAGAAACTCTAAAATCATGAAAAAGGGTGAAATGGTGACAGAGGTAATTAAAAGAGTCAATAGAGTTGTCACAAGAAGGATGCTCATTGACCAAATTATAACAACCATAATGGAAAAATGGCCACAAACTGGATAACACCACACCATCCATTCAACAAGATAATGTCAGGCCTTGTCAAGATGAATTGAACTAGAATGGAAACACCATTATCAGCAAAGTGGGGTTCATTTTCATTCTAGTTCAACAACATCCTAATAGCCCAAATTAAATATTTTAGATTTTGGGTTTTTCAGGAACATTCAAGCACTTCAATATAAGAAAAGAATCTAGATCAACTAACGGAAGCAGTTCAAGAAGCCTTTTATGAGTTTGATCCAAAGACATTATGCAGAGTGTGAATCACAATACAATATGTGATGAATGAGGTGTTAAAGGTGAAGGAGTCAAATGATTATAATGTTCCTCATGTGAACAAGGACATAATGGATAGACTGGGCACACTCATGATAAAGTACAAGCTCCTAGGTGGGTTTTCACAAATGCATGCATGAGAAGGTCTATGGTGACAAACCAGATATAGGTAGAATAAGAACAAGAAGATGTTATGATTGGCAATAAATACCACTACAAGAAAACAACTATTTTATGACGGAAAATATCCGTCAAAAACATAGGGAATTCCATGGAAAAACGCCTTTCCAACGGAATTTCGTCGCAATTTTCTGTCGTAAAACATTATGTAGGATATTTGGTATTTCCCGATGGAAATTTTGACGGAAAGCCATTTTCCGACGGAATTTCTGACGGATTAGGTTTTGTCAGAGACTGATTGGGCCAAAACTGTAAGTCCGTCGTAAATTTCCGACGGATTTGATGCAATATTCCGTCGTAACATGTCAAATTCTGACGGAATATTCCGTCAAAAAAGGAACATATTCCGACGAATTATAATTCCGTCGAAAACTTGCAATGGACGGTACCGTCGTAAACTTCAGACGAAAATAAATGAGCCTATAACAACATGCATTTCCATTTGTTTTTGCTAATGATCATGAAGCCTCAACATCTAATGCAAATAGGATGATGTAATGCTTCTTTGCCTAGCTTTTACTTTTGAGAACAAGTAGAAAATTTTGTGTTCGAGTCTCGCTTTGTACTTAGAGATGTACATATAAATTCCTAAAACAATCCAAAGGAAACCTAAATGGGTAATCCTAAATTTTAGTAGATATTATGCACGCAACGAACAACCTCTAAATCCCTAGTCGAATTGCCACTGTGAGGAGGGTGCCCCATGGGATATCCCCTCGGCTCCCAGAACCTACAGAAGTCCGGGGCCTATGCTCTTTTTTGTTGTAGGATTTGAATTTCTGACTATTTGAATGACATAAATTAGAGGGGAGACAAACAATCATTTTTTAATATTATACTAGTCTCCAATGAGTTTTAGATTCAAACTTATAGATCAGAGCCCATTCGCATCTTTCCCCAAGTAGTGTGCGTGGGGGGTTTAGTACAAAGTAAGTAAGAGCTTTCCCTCGCTCTAATCCTTAAGAAGGAATGCCCGTACAAAGGTCTGTTACAACTAGAGATGCTTCGAGAGCAAGGGTACTCGAAAGTCATTCTTTCGAAGTGATCTTCTAGCCCCAAAATGACCTATAATAATAGCTCATCTTGTTAGCAATATTATTATTTACTAGACAAATTTTTATGCAACATGATACACAATTACTAAGTTAATTAAATTTTATTTACAAACAAGGTCCACAAAAAATTACATTGCAACGAATTTTGTTATTTTTTTTTATTTAAATTCGTGAAATGAATAAATATAAAGAAGGATTCACTTGACCTCTTAAGTGATAAGACAAGAACTAATATTTCCAAATTCTAATCTTGATTAAAGAAAGAATGCTTGGTGAATAGATTAATTATTGTTTATTTAAAGTGGTCAAACAACACAAATTAATTAGTTATTTAAACAAAAGAAAAGGTGGTTAAGTGCTCAGAAAACTAACCATTTTTCCTTGCTAGATCTTTGCTCCGATTGTTTATGGACCTCTTTTTGTTTCGGAACCCCCAGCAACTTTGCATGAACTAAATAGGCTAAAGTGTTTAAGAAAAGGGACGAATGTAGTACAATGATTCAAGTAGTAGTTTTTCTATGGTCTCATTTTATTTGAATTCATGTCCTTTTTGTGCGGATTAGTACCCCTATTTTTAGGCTAGATGATGATTATGGTGGATTAGGTGTCAAGGCAAAGAGCCCTAGTCCAATGCAAGAACAAAAATTGTGTTGCTAAATATACAAAGATTTTATTCTGAATAAAAAAAATAATTCGGAATATATGGCGAGAGCAACATTCGTTGTTGCGTTGCACCGTCCAACACGACTTTGAAAGTTGTGTTGGATTGTTGAGTGCGACTTTGAGAGTTGCGCTCGACATCTTCAGTGGCGATTGGTTAGTTAACCTCAACCCCTTTTATCCCGTCATTAATCTAGGCTTAATACGCGTTTAAGTATATTTTGGGTCTATCTTAATGAGCAGACTTGGTCTGATTAAAAAAGATTCGTTGACAAGGTTCCGGCTCAAGAAAAGATTTGAATTAGCTTATAACATATTCTGAATTCCATAAACATTCTCAAATTTGATATGAAAAAGTTATTTAATATTATCATCGCACTTCCTTTCGGGACCAAAAGTAAATGTCTATACATAAATTTGAATTAAAACTTACATCTAAAGCCAGACTCATTAGTACCTCATTATTTTCATCCTTAGGCCCTGTTCACTTCACCTTAAAATAATAATATTCAGTAAAAAATAATTTCAATTCATAAAAATAAGTTTAGTTCAGTAAATGTAATTTCAGTTTAGTAAAAATAATTCTAGTTCAGTAAAAATCTGTAATTGTAAAGAAGAAATATAATATCAGTAAAATTAATTTCACTTCAGTAAAAATAATTTAGTTTCAGCAAAAATATTTTCAGTTCAGTAAAATTAATTTCAATTCAGCAAAAATAAGGTGAAGTGAACAGGCCTTAGTCACAAATTTTCTAACTTTTTATTTTCTTGATCCAAGACATTCCTGTCAACCCTAATATTTACACTCTTCCAAAAGACTTAATTCATGCATATCTTATTCTATTTAAGCTCTAATTATCATACAACCTTCAGTAGAGTTTCACCAAGGTTGGGTGGAGGGGGTTACATTCTTTAAAAAATAAAATTTCATGTCTTCAGGCTATCAAAGACATCTCGATTCGACTCAACTCATATGAAAATGCATATGCACCTAAAATTGAAAATTTTTCTATGGATGCTATTTCACAATGCTTTGATTGTTTAAGATGAGCTTTGTCACATAAGTGTTCAGATTCACAACTCTCTACAGTCTTTGCAACACTCAAATTGAAGATATTCAACATCTTTCCATGAAGTTTTACTTAGCTAGTCAGAGGGGTGGAAGCCTTGACATTTGTTCAAAATTTTATGGAAAACTCAACGAGTAGGATTAGGTTTGTGCCTTAGTAACAATGATCCTCTAGACTACGCAATAGTATTGAAAAGTGGCCTGAGTAACTTAAAGGTTATAAGTTCCACACGCCACTGCATTCGAAAGCTAAGCACGTTTATTTAGTCTTCAATGGGCATCACGTTTATTTAGTCTTCAATGGGCATCACTTCTAAATATTTGGTCGCTTGTAGTTTTCACAGATTCTTTTACATTGGCAACTCTTCTTCGAGGTAATGGACAAGGAGATCAATTTATTTTTTAATCATTGAAAGGCTACATGAAATTTTTAAGATGTGATTTAACATGCAAAAAATGCTATAGATATCAAAAAAAATGTAAAGTGTTACCCACTAAACCGTTTCTATGAATCTATGATTAATGAGAGCGCTATACACAATTTATTTTTATTTTTTTCACAATGAAGTATGCAATACATCGTAGGTTTGGATCAAGCTTCACATTTCCGACTAAAAGAAGTGATTGGACCTGAACAGTTGACAATATGGCCGCCTATCCTTGTATGTAATTGCCTGTTCAGCCCTAACGACGCTGATTCAACTTAGGAGCTACACCAGGCAACAAGAGTTGCATATGGTTGCTACTGGACACTTTTTTCGTTTTTAGAAAGGATTCACGTAGGAACATAGTTCTCAGGGTTGCTATTTGGCTTAACAAGGCCTTTTAGCTTCCATCCTCCAAGTCCAGACGACTCAAAAGCCTGCAAGGTGAGTATTCTAATTTAAGTCGGGAATTGTAAAACAGGAATTCTGAAGAGCACAACAATCAACAAAGGGAAATTTAAAGGAACCTGTAAATTCGTTCAATTAACTAAGTTATTTAGTGTAAAAGAAAGTTTAAATTTAGGTTATCTCTGGTGTACGCAAACAAAATATCATGTAAAGCTCAGAGAATAAAACTTGTTCCTCATCATCTCAATTCCAAATGCATACGTCATCATTTATAATGAACAAGGATGCATTACTTTTCAGTGCAATTCATCAATAGTTTTCTAGGCACAACAATGAATCTTAATAATTCTCTAGTCAAAACAACATATTCAAATTGAGTATATAAACATAGACAACTAATCCTAATCGACAAGTTGATTATAAATACAACGTACCAACTTCATCAATGTAGCCAAGCTTGCAAAGAAGAAATAAACTAAACTATATGTTTTTGTCCAATGTTTACCAAACAGAGTATAATAAAAAAAACAATAGAACAATTGCCAACCAAACAAGCATTCACAGCATTATTAAACGCTTGTATTGTACAAAAAATCACCAAGATATAGAAGCAAAACCTTAAGGTAGATCATATTTCATATCCACCTATGTCATATAGAATCCTTCCCGAGCTCATAATTCCTTTAAACAAGTTAATATAACAAAGACTGAGATTTTAATTTTCATGTCTATCTTGTATATTCAAATGGTTCCCAACCTTCTTCCTCTCTTTCACTTTTAAACTTAGCTAGGAATGTGAGCCACTAACACCCTGAAAGAGTTAACAAATTGACCTGAAAACCAAGCAGCCTAATTCTAAATTTTTATCCATCTACAAATAGCCAATATAACATGATCGAAAACTGCTGGCATTGATAAATTAAATACGCTGGTTAAAACAAAGTGAGAAATTGAAGAAATTTTTCATAATCTAGTTGCAAACCAACTTTTTGTTACGAACTAGTCTTCATGTTCTTAAAACCAACTTTTAACAAAAAGTATTGACATGTACAGCAACAGATCGTCAGTAGAAAACTATATGGGCCTTCATTGTTGGTGTGATAGCCAAGACCCGTAATAGATCTTTGCTCTGGTTGCTAAAAGCAGTATTATCATCTAATTTATTCATTGAACAAAAAATTTACAGTAAATCCTACCTCTTCCCAGGATTTCCCAGTGGCTTCAAGCAAAGCAGCATTGCACGTATCCAATTCAATTACTGAACCAGTGAACGTGGAGGCTGCTTCCTCCCATCCTTTGTTATGTCCCATACACCTAAAAGAAATTTGGTTATATTTGTAATTCATCCAACTTATTACTTAGCTATTCTAGGATTAGAATGAAATTAGAAATAGGAAGGAGCTTCCCAATACATGATATCTACAATTAAGCTGGTCAATACACACACAAACTTAATTTTCTTACACATCATCTCACTTAATGCATCATTAAATCCAGATAAGGATGCCAAATTAGCAGTACCTTGGACCTTTAGTGCACAACTTGCACAAGGCACAACCTAACACCACATTAATACCCTTTACACCCAGCATTCATAAAACAAGTTATACAAACTAGACACAAATAGAAAAGACAAAGCAATGACTTACAAAAACTTTAAAGCATCTCGTCAATGAAAAGCAAATGAGCTACTCAAGACTTGCACTTCTCTCTAGAACTGACACTAATCCCAAGTTGAGCTAATCTATATCTATACCAAGTCTTTTAATACAAAAAACCTTAGGGGCCACAAGTATCCCCCTTAATTATCTTTTTGTTTTATCTTTTTATCCTCTAGTTTATTTCCCTAAATTCCATTTTCCTACCTCTTCCCCTTCACTTTCCCCCTTCAATGTTCAACATTAATATCTACATTTAATTCACAAATTCAGTCAACCTTCAATTTAATTTCTTAATTAATTTACTATGTTTTCGTTTACCGTTCTTTCTAATTTTGTTTCAACAAATTCAATTAGAACCAACTGGATAAGGTTTAAATTTCAAGAAAATTGATCTTTTTTAAATAAATCTGAGAGGGATAAATTCTCTCATGCATTTAAACATGAGGCGCTAGAGCCTTGGTAGAGGCGGCCTAAGGCGTGTGCTTTTTGTCGCCTCCTGTACTGTGCCTGGAAAGGTCAAGGTGTTTTGTCAGCGCCTAGGCACGCTTTTTAAAACTTAGACAAACCTCATTTATTATCTCACCCATAATATTTACGCCTTTCCATTCACTCTCCCCTACACTTTTCATTTTTTACACCCTCCCTCCTTTTCAATATTCACAGATTGTTCCAATTCATTTGAGCACCTGAATTGGAACCATAACTTACTCCAACATGTATATAAGGTTACAAAAGAATTGTCAAATGTTTGTCAACATGTATATATTCCAGAAACGTAAAAGGCGAGAGAAATATATGCAGTAAAGTAACTCACATAACTGTAAAAATGTCATCTGAAGAGAATTTGCAAACCATCTTTTGGAGGTGTTCAGCAGTCTGCCCATCCATAGCAGCAATCGAATAAAAACTAGGGATGAAATGTACTGCAGCCTGTAAGAGCCCCCTGACTCGCTCTTGCATAACCAAGAGTGTCTCCTTTGTCCTTGTGGCATCACTGCCAGAATGGAAGAAAAGTGCTATCAGAAAAATGAGTAAGCTTCTTTTTAGTAGATAAAATATGGATATAATATAAATACAGTTCAAATTTAAGAAATAACAAACCTGCATAAGATCAGCTCAGGGACCCAACCTAAGAGTTGAAGTCTGTATGAGACATCAGCAGCATCAGCACGACCAGCTTTACTCAGTGGACGATCATGGTCTAACAAAATAATGATAGCAAGATAAGATTAAGGAATCTTGTCTGTTTGTATTAGTTATTTCAATAAATTGATAGCATTAGTTATATATAATATTACCTCCGTTTCATATTATGTGCAACAAAGGGCTTGATAGGGACTCCTAGGCAAAATTTGTTTGAGTGTTAAATGGAGAGAGAAAGATAAAGATGTATGTGATGAAGAAAGAGATTGAGAAAAATGAAAACTTAAAAAAGAAAGAAAACATTTGTTGCACATAATGTGTAACATCCATTTATGTAAATGTTGCACATAATATGAAATGGATGTAGTAAATAAATATATAAAATCAGCGATCGATTGTTAGCCGTCATGAAGAAGTATATAGAGTAGCAAATTAATGAAAAAGCTAATAAGCATATAGAAAAAGCTACTCTAAACAGCTTTTTCATCCTTGGCTCAGTCTGGCTCTTTAACTACATTGCCAAGCTAAAAGCCAAAAGGCAACTAAAAAGTAGACAAAAAGCCATTGCCAAAATCCGAAAATGAAATGAGTGAGGTAAGAAGAAATTGAAAATTAAAATGGGAAAATAAAGGAAGTTTATGACAAAAAGTATACTCCTCTTAAATCATTTGCTACATCTGCTTATTGAGGGTCAGTGTACACTAGCTTTATCAGTATTATTTCACTAATATATGGGATATAATATTATCAAGTATGATCTAATTAGAGTTTTATTACGTAATTCAGGATATCAACTTTTCATAAGAGTAATTATTAATAATACGTAATTTGAGAACTTTTACAGTCAAAGTGTGTCTTGATTCTTGAAGTCCATGAAAACGAAAATGTAGCATGTATTTTGGGACAGGGGAGGATAAAAAGAGGGAAAGAAGGGATTTAGAAGACAATAAGCAAAAGAAAACAGAAAAAGATGAAAAACCAAAATCAAAGGATATAAGTAAACAAAAAAATTCAATAGCAAAATCATATACAAGCCAAATCGAACTCCCAACCTAAGCATACATGTCAAACACACTTAGAAACAACCAGGTAATGGTACGTTTTGTTACAGGAATATAAAACAAAAGTTGTCCAGACACAGAATTATGCACACCTTAGTTTAAACATCTCTCAAGATTTTGTATTTTTGCAACAAGTCACACCCAAAAATTCTTTTTCATTCTAGCCAAGAGTAAGAAGACCTTGCTACCATAGGATCAATTACAAATAATATAAATGTGATAGTGTGAATGTGTGATTCTGTCCAAGTATTATGCTATAAGACCTATAACTACTACACAAAAGTATTCATTTTCAGAGCACTAACCTAGTCAACTGGAAATATAGATCATAAACCTAATTAATTTAAACAAAGTCAGAAAAGTCCACAGTTAAAATGAAGCTTGCATAATATGCAAAAGAGGGTCAAAGACTAGGAGTTTAAGACATCAAAATTTCAAATGTTAAACCAGAAAGTAGGAAAACGTCTTCAAAATTTTAGAGAAGGCTTGTAGCAGAAAAAAAAAAAAAAAAAAAAAAAAAAAAAAAAAAAAAAAAAAAAAAAAACACTTTTATCTGCGCTCATTTTCTCAGATAGTCTCTTTATTTGGGGAAAGGAAGTTTCAAAGATGGCTTTGTTATCCTTATATTCATCCCAAGAAGATCCAAAGAGATCGTGCTATGGTAACAATCCAATTGTGTGGTTTAAACTTTCAGAAAGGAGAAATAAGTAACCTAAACTAATGTAGTTTCAAAAAGCCATGTTTATACCCTTGATGAATAGAAAATTAAGGGATATACTAAGAAACTTTCAGAAGGGAGCACTAAGTGACCTAAACAATTCACTAAGCCACGGTTAAAGCTCTACTGTCAAACAGCAGTAGGCATGCATGGAACAACACCTTGAGGCCTTCAAAAATATTACACCCTCTGCCCCCATTTTTTTTGCCCCATTGCACATAAATTGGTCAACTTTAAACACTCTAACCATAAATAGTCATTAATCAACAAGACATAATAAAGTCATGTGGAGTCTTGTTAGATTCGTCTCATTGTATATTTTGTTAATATCAGTTTTTATAATTTTTCCGCGTATGAAAATGAAGTTATGTGTATTTTAAAGCGCGTCTTGGAGACTGTGAAAAGTCAAACGGAGCAAAAAAAATACGGACAAAGGGAGTAAGAAGTTCCAACATTTAGCTAAGCACAAATGTTTCAGAAGAAAAAGGAGTAGTTTGTGGATTGATTACCCCGTAAAGAATGATCATTCCATGAGCTCTCCGCATGACGCAATAGAATCAGACGACGAGTAACAGATTTTGAGGGGGTCTTCGCCGGAGCAGAGCTGTCAGCATTGTCAAGAATTTGGGACACATAAGGCAGGCGTTTTACTTTCTTTTGAATAAGAGGACGAGGAAAGAGTGAAGGTGACGAAGTAGAGGATAAGGAGGATCTAAGAGGCGTGCAGTAGAGTGCAGCTTCCATAGCAACTTCCAAATTCTGGATTATGCCCACATAATCCCCTTTTATCACCTTATAACAATATAAGTTGACTCTGCTAAGTCAAGCCCTCAAACTGTATGCAAACAAACAAGTTCATCAGAAAAAGTTACTCAGATACATATTACATATACAAACTATATCTCAAATTCTCAATCAGACTAGGCAATTAGAGTTCAATGGGCATTTATCTTCAGGTGGTGACATTAATCAAGACTGCTTATAAGAAAGACAAAAGGCAAATCGACATGCCACTTTTGCAGTATGCTTCCATCCCCTAGCAATTCATGCCAATTTTAAATGGTACTAGTATATACGTCCTCAGTTCTTTCATTATTGAAACATGTAGGTGAAGCACAATATTTTAGAAGACCATGGTGAGAGAGATATAAAGAAACAACAAAATGTACCTATGTGATAAGGGCAGAGATCTAGAGGAATCACGTGCACATAAGGAAACGTTGCAATAAATATGAAACATCCATAAAAGGGAAATGTTAGGAGGTATTTGTAAAAAGGTTTTATATAGTACATTTAAGATCTAAAGCTTTCAAGGTATCCAATAAAGAGTCTAAAGGTTCATAATACAGTGCAACTTTACCCCTTTTGTCTTTTGCTGTTTATCAAGAATGAAAACTAAAGATCAGATTACATGATGCAAACAAACCTGATACACAATCTAAAACAGGCACTTGAAGCACAGAAATAAAGAAAATAAACTCAAACCCACAACGAGACTTAAGGATAACTTACTTCAGTACTTCCAAGATTTTGTAAATCATTCCCAACCATTAAAAACATCCAAAATAGCTTAACATATACAATAAAAGAATTTGTCTCTTATTTGTAATCCCTGCCCCAATCCCCAACGAAAACCAGATACCTAATGATAATCCAATCATGCTCTAGGATACAGTTATCGAACAAAGGACAATATTGAGGATTCCAATGAATCAGTCACATTTTATAGGACTAAAGCGGGCTGTGGGTCAATAATGGGTGAAGTGATAAACCCAACTACACGCTCAGCCACCAATTATTTCATTCATGAGTCTTTGCTAGGCAGCAGAATATTCATTTCGTATGAGGTAATAATCAGATTGATCACTAAAGGTTTTCTTATAATGGTATTGTTTTGTGCACCATTATGAATGTACTTCAAATATAATACCATCCTCTGCACAATCTGCTCATCCTTATAAAGGTAACTTTTCATTTCTCTCTTTTATTAATTATGAGAGAGTTGTAGTTGATTTCACTTCATATGCTACTGTAATGTGACGCATAGAGTCTCGACCTTAAAGTCGATCAACAAATTATCGGTTAACGAGAGTGTTCGATGTTGACAAACCCAGATAAAATCTAAAATGCTCGATCACACTGTGATACAGGTACAATTTTCTTTCATATATCTCAATATTTCTTTAGCCAATGACTACTATCTTGAGCAGCGGAAATAAACCCAATAAACTAAACCCTAAACCAGAAAATTAGAAATTAAAAAAACCTAACCCAATGGATAACAATATGAAATCCAAAATAGAACTTGAAAATCTAACTCAATTAACCACTAATCCACAACATATAAAGAAAAAATGCAACAAAAAGAAAAAATTAAAAAACTTATAAATTTATAATAACTACTGTAGAAATTGTAGCAAACAAACGAAAAGATAATGAACATTCAACTAAACAAATCATTCGAGCATAATGAACGAAATTCGGCTAATATGAAATGGAGAAGAGAAAAGAATTTATTTTTTTTTAAAAAAAAACACCTTGTTGAAATTCTGTTGAAGCAGTGGGTGGTATGAAGTTCGTCGGGGTTTGCGGGCTGGTACTGGTAGTGCGTTGATCCTTGGGGGTTATTTGCGACGGAAATAGCTGATAGGGTGGCTTTTCTACTCCCTCCTTGTTTTAAACTTTTAATCAATCATAATATTAACAATAACTTAATACTAAAATAAACCGTGTTGTTTTTCCCTCTAAAACTCCCCTTTCTTTTTAGCCAAAATATTTTTACACTTTGTATGGATTGAAGAAAATAGAGGGAAAGAAAGTGAAGTAAAATTAAAGGATAAATAATCTCTCATTTGGATAGCAAATGAGGAAGGAAGATAATTGGAAGGGAAAAAAATGGAGAGATAGAATTGCAAGAAATTAATCTCTCCAACAATGAAGAGATTTGGAAGAAAAATTATTCATTTTTCCCTCCCCTCTCTTCCTTTCCCACCCCTTCTCCTCCCTCCCCTTCTTTTCCTCCCCCTAATCTATCCAAACGCACTATTAGAATATTTGTATAATTCAACTATAAGAATTTATTCCAAATCTTTTGTAAATATTTTTTTTTTTTTTTTTGGTATTCTTAATTCTCCATACACATTTACCTAAAATATTTCCAACTCTTTTATAATTATCATTTATACGAAGTATTAGAATTTGCCAAAAATTTAATACCCATTGGTTCCTAAATAAATGACACATTGGACCTTTTTTCAATATTCATTTACTAACTTTGACCGTCATTTTTTAGTAATACCGTATAAAATACGAATTTTATTATAAAATAACGAGACATGCATACAAAATTAACATTAGAATTACCATTACAGTTGTACAATAGTGAGGGTTGTTGGGAAAAAAAAAACATTTCTATTCTTATGAAACAATAAAAATTGAATTAATTTTCTATAAAATATTCCTATAATTTTACCAACTTCTAATTTTTTTTTTTTGAAGGTTTTTCTATAAAAAAAAAATAAAAAAAAATAAAATGATAACGACTTAGATGAACCTTCGTGAAATGTTAGATTAAAAAACTTAAAACGGTAAAGATAACAATGGAAAAAGAATATTTAGATTTCCTCAATAATGTGCATGATCTAATGAAGTCCAAAACGATTAGGTTTAAAAACCATTGGGTTTGCCTTTCATACAAACTTATGACAATTTACTTAATTTTTTTTAAAATTAGAATTACCGTGCATGGCACGGGCCTAACCTAGTAAGTGTTAAACTTTAACTGACATATAATTTTAGGCAATCTAATATCATATCATATCATATCACTAATAAATAAAGCTGGTCACGCAGCCATGCCACGAGACAACGACACTTGGCATTTCAGTTTTTTGCCAAGTGTCGCTCCACGTAGGCGACAAATAGGTACTATTGTGACACATATGATGCTAAGTAAGCAATTTTTGGATATATATTTTAAGATAAAATTGTTGTATAGAGTTTTATTATCGATAAAATTCTAAATTTCATATATACAAAATTAATCATAACTTTTAATAAATATCATAAAACTCAGTTTTATTCCATCATAAAATTTGTTTCAAAAATTTCTTTAACATAAGGTCCATTTATAATATATTTAATTTAGTTAAATAAAAATAATAGAGAATCAGTAAAAATAAGTTTTAATCAGTAAAACTTTTTGTTTAGAATTCTATTTTCGATAAAATACAAATCATATCATATCATATCACTAATAAATAAAGCCAGTCTCGCAGTGAGACCACGAGACAACGACACTTGGCATTCCAGTTTTCCGCCAAGTGTCGAGCCCAAAGGCGACAAATATGTATTATTGTGACACATATGATGCTAGGTAAGAGAAGTTTGGATAAATTTTTTAAGATAAAAATGTTGTATAGAGTTTTATTATCGATATACTTCTAATATTTCATATATACAAAATTAATCATAACTTTTAATAAATATCGAATAACTCGGTTCTATTTCCATCATAAATTTTTTAAAAAAAAATTTCTTGAAAATATGATCTGTTTCGGGGTTTTTTGGATGTCCTGCGGGAGAGTTATAACACCAAGATCGACCTCTGGACGCCTGTACCTGCAAAACAACGGAGACTCCTGTGGGTGGGAGTTCCGCCTCCGACGATCAAGTTAGAACGTGTTCGGAAGTAAAGGTGCGGAAATTAAAGGGGATCATGCTCCTCTTGGAAGGGGAGTGATCATCCGACTGTCTCATACAGTCTCGGAATCCGATCCTTAGCTCTCAAGTAGTGCAATTAAAGCTGGGGTTGATGCTCAGTAAGTAATGTATGCGTGTGTTTTATAATTTCTAAATAATGTTCCTCAGAGGGAACATTCCCTTTTATAGGGTCTTTGAAAGCGGGCCCAACACTAGGTTTCTATAACCTAGGACTGATTGGGCTTGCCTTGGAGTTTGGGCTGTAAAGGTCGCTTTCCTATTTTGAAATTCGTTTTCCACGTGTCGTGACCTGATTGGTCCACCATGGGCCTCTCACGAGATGACACGTGGCGGACTCTTAATGGTCCACGTGGACAACACGTGGCAGAGCTTTGTTTGGACATTTCCAAAAATTCTAGAGAGAACTTTGTCTTTTTCTGAGATAGAACAACTTCTGACTGCACCAGACCGCCTGCTTTTACAGCCGCTGCAGATTTTCAAGCGTCTTCATCTTCACCGACTAAAGGTAACCCCCTGTTTATTTTTCTTCTTTCGTAATTTCCCTTTGTTTTTCTTTTGAAAATGGTTTCCCAAAAGCACACGGCACGACCTAGGTTAGTGATCAGCCGGTCACCGGGGACGGCTGAATCTAGAACTAGGAGTGTCGACTGCCCCTTGCTGGATCACCCTTTGCGAACTGCCCCAAGTCCGACTGTCTATGTATCTGTGCAGGACACCATGGCCAAAACTAAGAGAATGCCAAGGGTGACCAATTCAGACGGCTCTTCCTTCTATGCGCCTGTCAGGGAATTGTCTGACGTGTCGCCTGGTGCCCCAAGCACTCCCAGTGATTCCATTTTAGACGAATTAGGGGAGGAGGTTCAAAATGATATGTCGGGCTTTATTGATCTGGCCCACCAGGCGGACACCAGGATTGAGAGCTCAGACAGCGACTCTGAGCCAAGTACTTCTTGCAAATTCTAAGATGAATCTGAGGAGAGGCACTCTCGGTTAGGGGCCGCGAGAGAGTCCCTCTCAGTAGAATTGGGAGCAGATTGGGTGGAGCCGTCTACTACCCGCCGAGAGCAATTTTCAGCCTACTACCATCATGTTCCCACAGGGAGGTGGATGATGATAGCCGATAAAATTGGGAGCTTTAGAGCAGACCATGTCATGGGACATGATTATATTCTATGCACGCCGGATGCTGAAGACACCGTAGTCTAGCCAGAGGGGTATAGCTACGAGGATGAGTGTTTTGGTTGCTATAAGGCGGCTATTAAAGCTGGCCTAAGATTTCCCTTACATTCGGCCGTGGAGCGGATCCTGGACGGATATCAGCTAGGTGTTTGGAAACTGGCCCGAAACTCTTTTTTCAATATATTGGGCTATGTTGATGGCTGCAAAATGCATCAAGTAGAGCCCAGCTTCGAAGCATTCGCACACATGCATTACCTCAGCTGGACCCCAAAAGCAAGCAGGATCGACTGGTTTTAGTTGTCTAGCCATAAGGGCTATATGATGACTTTAGGGAAGGAAAACAAGTGGAAAGATTGGAGAAACACTTTCTACATCATCTCTTGCTCTGACAAAGTCAGAAACAAAAAATTCAACAGGTGGAACAGGAACCCACCTTTCCTTACAGGCGGTTCGGAGCTGCCGCCTGTTCCTCGCAAAGCAAAAGAAAAGATCCTTGACAGAGGACTCTTCAAAGTAAATATCCAAGAGAACCCCGAGACTGGGGCGAGGGAGTTCATTCCCCTAAAATTATATTCCTAAGTATAACTAGTTATATGATGGGACATATCTGGCCGCCTGTGGCCTTAGTGAAGAAATGTCGAGAGGTAGCTCACCGCCTGTTCAAGCGTCTTGTAAACTTGATTATTTTTGCATCAAACTAACTCCCTGATTTATCTTTTACAGACAAAGCTATGGAAAAACTCTCGGCCTCAAAGAGAGCTACTACCCAGTTCGGCTCGGCCATCTTGGGCAAGCAATCAACTGAAGAGTCGCCTGCTGTGCAGGCACCCAAGGTGAACTTTCAACTGAACAAATCTCATATACCTTTTCTTCCGCCTGCTTCTTACTTATTGTGGTTATTTTGCAGGGCAAAGCCTTCCTCCTCCCCCCAGCCGGATCCTAAAGTTAGGAAACAGACGGTTGGTGACATAACAACCCCTAGGAGAGCTAGGAAACATGTGGCCTCAAGGCTAGGGAGTAGCCAACCTCTTAAATCTCCAACCGTCCCTGCGGGCAATCAGACAGAGAAGGAGAAGCAGGCGGCTGCTGAAGGTATCAAAGATTTGCATTCTTTCCCTTACCCTTTGTGGGTCAAATTCAATCAGCAGTCGTCCAGCACTTCTGAAAGCAGTCGGTCTATTAGCCAAATTATAGGGTATTCATTGTGCAGGTGTCTCTTAAAGGTTGGACCTTGTCCATCTAGCCAAATCTATGTTGAAAGCCGTCTCCCTTGAAGACAGGGAGGCAGTCAAGGGAGTCGACACCCTCAACCTGGATGTCATCCTTGTTCTTCTCGCTGAGGTATAATTGTAATAATTTTTCGTTTCTTATTTATATAACTTTTGAGCCGCCTATATCTGACGTTTGTTTTTGGCTGGGTCAAGGCTATGCTGCGAGTACACGGTCTTCGCAGGCCCACAAGTGAGAAGACCAAAGAGGTAAAGGATGTGAAGGCTCGGACCGCCTCTGTTTCTGACAAAGCTATGTTCCAGATAGCCCAAAATGAACTTCTAACTAATAACATACTGTATTATCAGGCGGCTGCCAACTTGCAGGTCAAAACGGACTTAGAGGCGGCCAAGAAGAGGATCTTAGAGCTGGATTCGTCCGTTAAGGACCTCAAGGCTGAGCTCGGGCCTCTTAAAGAGGAGGACAAAAGAAACAGTCGGCCTCCGCACTAGGGTGGACAAGCTCAAACTCTGCCTGCAGAACTAGGAGACCCAACTTGCCAAGAAATACCTAT